GGTTGTTGGCCTTGACGATGGGAGTGTCTCGGTGCTTCACATAGAGCCCAAGGACAGCAGCCGTGAGGACAGTGAGACTCAGGGCGGTGCCAGCCAGAGCCTTCCCCAAGGGGTCTTCATAAGCCAGAAAAGTCACAGCTTTTTGCAGGCAATGGTTTCTCTGACTGTTGGCATATTGGTGATCTGGACACTTCACACACTGCTCCATATCTAGCAGAAATTAAAATTGTCAGTTCTCTAGGTTTACTTTTTTTTTTTTTACAGACTCATCCTCAGGAACTCATTGGACTTCCTTAACTAAATTGTCGCTTTTTAATTTTTCCTTTTTCTCTTTCTTTCTCTTTGTTTTTCTGTATGTGGGACTGACTTCAGGAACTTTGCACTGAGATATATTTCCAATTCTTTTAAGTTTGCTATTTTGAGAAAGGATCTCCTTAAGTCATTATGCTCTGTTCTGACTTAAAATCCTCCTGCCTCAGCCACCCAGAGCCCTGGATTCCAAGCATGCATCATCACACCTCATTTTTACATTTCTTTCATGACACAAAATAAAAGACTAGTATAAAGTGAATAACTCCTATTTGGTATTCATGCTCTTTTTAAATCTGACATATCCATGAAAACATTCTATTTTTACAAAGTATGAGAGAATCAACCTTTATCACTTACATCACTAATTTGATCTAAATAAAATATTTACAAATATTCTCCAGATAATCAATAAATAACCTCATATTAGGAAGCCAACATGACTTGCTAAGTCCCAGGAAAATGCATGTGAAGAAGCATATTGAATGTTAAGTAGTTCCACTACTGAGCCTCTCCATCTGTGAATGTGCTTTCTGCATCATGACTTTTATTGTCAAAGGGGTATATCAATAGTTTAATTCTCTCAACTTTCACATCATTACAGGATATATCAGTACATATTTAATGACTGTAAAAGTTACAAAAATCAATTTTCAAGTTTTTATCTATGAGTGCCTTACGACTGAGGTGTGGAAATGGTTTTTCTTTTGATAGCCTTGTCTTCCATAACCAAGCAATCCAGTATCATTTTATTCATTTGCATGGATTTTATACTTAAAAACAAGTATCATTGGAAAATGATCTCATCCATGTTTCTCTCTTTCTAACACATTTTTATTTTTGTGTGTTTTCTTCATTGCACTGACCATGATATAGAGTGTAATGTCTGGCAGAAGTATGATACAAAAAGTTCTTATCCCATTCCTACTTTCAGAATTGTACCACAGAGTGTAATGTGAGCTATAGGATATGATAAATACCATTTCCAAGGGGCAGTTAGAGACTTTTCTTCACCTATTTAGTAAGAAATACTCGTGTTGTTTCTTTGTGAATCACAGTGATGTACAATTTTATGATATTGTCTGAATACATTAGCATTGTTTTTCTTTTCCTACTACCTAGTGCCTTGAATCATATTTTATACACTGAGTTTGCTCATGGTATA